CTCCTCTTAAGTTGCTCATCAGTTTCTCCTGCCTTTTGTGTCTCTCTGCAAAACATTCTATTAGTTTCTACTAAAAGAAAATTAAGAAAAAAAAAAGTATTTTTATTTTTTTTTAGTTCAAACTGTTTCCTGACTACAATCACATTTTTCCCCATAAGAAAAACCATCTCATCTCTAAGCTGTATTTTCTGGGCTATCTCAATCTACCTTTGAGATAATTAGATTCATTTCACAGGTTTATCTCCTGTTCACCTCCCTTGCTATCTTCCTATTTTACTCAAATTCTTTATGAAACTTCGTTTTCTCTGTAGTATAACATGCTGCTCTTTTTACATCCAAGTCTTGGCTAGTCTCTCTCAATTGGCCTGCCTCAGTTTATCCATGATGTTGGCTGTTTTCACCAAGTTCTTTGCAAACAAGCACTTTCATGCTTTTCCCTACACCTGAATGAGCTCTTCTGCAAAATTCACATTGCAGCTTCTATTTGCATTAAAATCCCTGTTTGAAACACTGCTTTGCTATGAGACGTGTATATGTGCCTGCAAAAGCTGAAAACTTCGATTTCCATGCTAGCCTGTCTCACTGTATGTCAGTGGTTCCCTCTCTGTCTGTGTATCACTTAGTTTCAACTTGTATCAGACTAGCTATGTGGCAGATCATCATATTCTCAGTCCAAAAATTTACCATGCTGCCCCTGGCAAATATCCTGATCCAGTATGTTAAAAGAATGAAATAAATGTACAGTTGCACCAGTGACAAAACATTTTTTCTGCTTCTACTGTAACTTTTTATAATCCGTATATGCCACATCATTCTTAGAAAATTCAACTTCAAATCCTGTAAATGGGAGAAAAGTGCTTTTTCTTGCTATAACCATGCCCACAGTACAGGGTACTATGCTTACCCTTGCTGAAATTTAGCCACTGAACTTCAGTGGCCAAGTTCTAGATTTTGGATCACCTCTGTATCAAAGCCATATCCTTCCCAAAAAGAAAAGTTGTAAGGAAGAAATTAAGTGAAAAGTGAGGAAAGCCAACAGTTGCCTCTTGACAGAAGAGTTTTTACCTTTCATTTCTCTGAGGTAAAACTCAAGGAAATAACTGATTATAGGTGATATCTCTCACTCCCATTTCAGAAAGAAAGATCACCAAAAAAACATACTGGACAAACAAGCTTGTGTAACTGATCTTAGTATTTCCTTCATCTCTGCTGGTCTCACTTTAAAATTATTTGTAAGACATGCAAGTCTTCTCATGCCTATGGACAAAGGCTGCTGTGGTCTTACTTATTGTCACATATTGTTAAGTGATAGTTTCTGCATAAACTAGGACAGCCAGTCTTAGGTCCTGTATGAAAAGTCAGGCCCTATCAATGTGAGCTGAAAGAGCCTTTTAAAAAGTGGGTGGGAAGGACTACACTGATATCAGCAACATAAGGTTTTCTGGGGAAAATGCAGCAACAGGAAAACTTATTTTCTGATTAAGAATAATCCTGTAATCACCTTGGGAAATAATTCTGTATGGATCCACAAGGACACCTTCACCTTAAAAATGTCATGCACAGAGGAAATCCACCTTACCCTGGCTTAGCTACTTCCCTGTTTTCTTGTTGGAAGCAACTGCAATACAATTTTTGCAAAAAGATGTAACACCAAGCAGGACTCTTATGTCTCAAACAACAGTCCAAAAAGCATTTGAAGAACCAAGCTCAAGTCAGGCACTGAGTCTGTAACACTGAATTAATACCAAAAGAAAGGATTAAGTCAGTTCTCAGGCTCAGTATAGATTTCTGCCAGTGCAAGGTTCCTGGGTCAACTGCTTCCTGGCTGGTAGACTGCAGCCTCAGGCTACCCCTATGTGTTACACAGTACACTGTCCTAGTGTCCTCTACCACCAGCCAGTAAGTATACTTGGGGAAAGTGAACCAAAAGGCCTGCAGAAGGGATGCACTCATAACAACTGACCTCGATGAAAGAGGAGGAGCAAGGGTATTATTGAAAGGATAGATGCTGAATGAAATTCTCCACATAGGTGGAGAATACTTTGTTTTTTAAAGGAAGGCTAAAAGGTATCTGCCTTTACACTTACCATAACCAAACAATGAGTATATGCTGCCATTTGACTTGGGATAAACAAGCAGGAATTCAATGTGGTAACAGAATTAAAAGTCCAGCTGTAACATGAGGTTCTCATGACCTGCATTTGTCAAAAGGTAGTAAGTCTTTGGCCTCTGGTAACGATTTCTATGCCCTGAACTGCAACGAGAAGTCATTTTTGTATATTCATTTTCTGATGCATGCACATGAATAGACTGGAGGACACAGTCTCTTGATGGTCCCTTTATGAGTCAGCTGTCTCAGGTATAAGAACAGATATAATTGTCTAGGTAAGCAACTATCTAGTCAATGCACTGATAAAACACTATTGTAGTAGCAGAGAGTACGAAGGAAGTTTATTTTTTGCAATGGCGTCTGTGTACCGCTAACTTCACCCTTTTACGTAAGAATGTGTGGATAACGGTGTTGAGTCATCTTATACCATATCAGTAACCTGTCTAGGTTTGCATTAAACCCTTTACATCTCAGGTAAAAGGAAGTTAGTTCCATGGTTCCCAGGATTAATGAAGAGTCATTTCCTTCAAGACAGACCTGTACAGCCTGGGTTTCAAAAAATACTCATAATGGGATGAGAAGGACTTCTAGAAAACAAAAAGGCAAACTGGATCAAGTAACCTGTGGTAAGTGTCTAAAATCCCAAATGACCCCTTGCCAAGTCCAGTGGAAGAGAGCTTACATGTTTCCAAAGTGAGAGACGGAGAAGCAGATGAAAGCAACTGAATGGGATATTTGCATTCTTTGAGAATGTTTTCAAGACTGCTGACAAGAGACAATGAGGGAGTAAGAGCTGGCAATGACACCTGTAGTCTATGCCAGTGATGACAGTATCATCCCTTGCATTCTTGTTGCTGGAATAGATTATGGGTGGGGAACACAAGAAAAGTGGACACTCTACTAAGCCAAACAGGCACATCTGCAACTTCTAAATAGCCATAAAAAATTCAAAAGAGGCTAAGAATAGTTCTGAAATCCTTAATGTAGATAGCTTCTGAGTGTCCCTAAACACAAAGGAGATGTCAGAAACTGACACACAGAACAGCAATAATCTGTAACTAAATCTTCCTTGGAATGTATGGGATAGGATTCTGCAAAGGACAGAAGCTATCAAGTGAGTTTGTCTCATAACTAGAGCAGCTGGTCAATCACCAAACATGAAATGAACACACTTAATCAACCAAAATTATTTAGGTACTTCAAACCTGCAGTGTGAGAGCATGACCGCTCAGATTTCTATTCTCTGCTGAAAGAATCATGGAAGATTGAACCAGATGGATGAGGAGAAAGTTAGTGGCTCCTACGAATACTGATGTTTCCTTTATAGTTGGAGAAAAAGAATGCATCAAAAGGTCTTCCTATGAGTCAAACTGGTTTTAACTCTACATACCGTATTATTTATAATCAATTACTGGCAGTTTCAATTTCCTCCAAGTGCAAATTGGAGGAGACTTGATTTGCTTTAAGAGACTTTGAAAGACTCTCAAACTCGCAAACCTGACCATCCTAAAACCTTCATTTCCAGCCAGCAGTATGCAAAAGGTGATGTGTACCAGCTTCCTTGATGTCCCTCAATTGTAAGGTTCAGAATAAAAAAATGAAGCGCAATCTAAACTTGCTTGTTGAAATAGGTTCCGGGGCTTGTTGCCACTACTCAGGATTCAATACTTTTGAAAGTAAGAGGGTAAAGGGCTATGCTGAACCAGTGCGGCCTCACCTCTTCCCTCCAAACTAAGGCACGTTCTTCTTCAAAGGCAATATATAGTAGAGACTTTTTGGTGGTGCTGAGTTGCTGCAAGAGGTGGGGAATCCCTTGAAGAGTCACTATTAAAACAAATGGTAGGACTGAAGGGTCTCATAAAGCCCTTTAGGTTGACAAGAAAGTTATCTCAGTGTCAGGAGTGTATCATGTTAATTAGCAATCGAATGCTGACAAGAACAGAAATAAGGGCTAATCCAGCATCCGCAGAATCCTTGGCATTAAGTAAAAAAATGATGCTGTCTTTCATGTTAATACCGGAGTTGTTCTTGTCATCCCCAGGGGAGAGGCAAAACATCATTTCCCAACACTGCAATTAGTACTGTTGACTGAAGACAGACAGGACAAAAGCGCGAGTTTGAGAGTGCTTCTCTTGCTTTTTCTCAGTAGGCACCAGTGGCAGAGCTGTCAGCACTTATCATTTGGGTGACTTGAGCTTCTACACAGACTCTACAGTAGCCAAACCAGAGCTGTTTTCAACATCCTATCCATTTCTTTTACCAGTCCTTGATAAGCGTGACATTTGGCACTCCAACTGCTAGCTAATGGTAAAGATGGGGTGGCATACTCTGGGATGCCACTTCTACTTAATACTAGGAAATAGCTAATTTTTGGTGCCCACCTCCACCAGTTTTCAGGTTGATACACTCAACTGTTTCAGCAGAAATATCTGAAATGCCAACTCCCTCTCTCTGCAACTGGGAAGTTCGAATAAAACCCAGAAAACTCAGTACTTTCCTATCCCCCTCGCCTCCACTGAGGCTATATAAATGCTAGTTATACAGCTCAGTCAAGCAGGATCATATGTTCCAAGTGACAGACAGATGGAAGATTATTTTTGAAGAAATCATTGGAAGATAATTCTTTAACAGACGAAGGCAAACATGAAAAGGAAAATGCATGTTAGAGGCCTTTTTAAACACTAAGAAGTGCAGCACTGATATATAGACAATCACCACAAAGAATAGTAGCACATACAATTCTGAGTAACAACTGCATAGTATTAACCAGGCAGGCTGTCAATTCTTTACTACAATGAACAGTTTTCAGTATACAAACATCACGGTCTAAAATTGACTGAAAAAAATAAACATTTTATACTGTATTACAAGAATATATTCTAAATCATACCTCGGGTGCCAGGTATTCTGGAGTACCACAGAATGTTTTCATAGTTGCTGCGTCTGTGATTCCTTCTTTGCAAAGTCCAAAATCTGTAATTTTTATGTGTCCATCTTTATCCAACATTAGATTTTCTAACTGTGTGTTGGGGAAGAAAATGATCCCTTAGTACTTTTTAACAGGACAGGCTGATGCATTGTATCAGTTTTGTCAAAAAGACTGCTTGCAATAGAATTTGTGATTTGTTTTAAAAAAAATACAGCATCTCTTATTTTATAGCACTCAATGGTGTTTACTGTTATACAATTTAAATATTTATTTAATGATTCAATACAGCTTACAATAGTAAATCCCAGGTCAATCAAAGTACGACCCTTCATTCTGAAGTTTTACAAGTTTGGGGCACCTTCCATAGAACAAAAGCTAAATATTTTTTTTTTTCATATTCTCAAGACAAAGTCAAGTAATTCAAGGTTGCAGTCATGGCTGTCATTTGGCAAGAATACATAGGTTTCCTTTGCTGTAACATGACCTTCATTTATCAAGATGCATTTTACTTACTATATTGTCACAAAACAGTATATATCTGTAAATCCTTTAATCTTGCACAACCTTTTCAATAACAGACAAGCTACTGATAAAAACAAAACCCTGAGGTAAACTCCTCCTTGTATACTTGCAAAGGACACTGTCCTTGAATTGTGTATGCGTATTTCTGCATGCTCTGCATGCTTTTGAAATACACCATTCTTGCTTTGAAATGTGAAAACAGAATACAGTCAATTATGAAGTATCGAAACAACAGGAATAAAAACTGCTGCAGTGTTTACTGTGGACCATCTCAAAAGCGTGGCTAACATTGTTTTTCCAAAAGCTTTTTATTAGCAGTACTATAAATACAGGTAGAAGTAAAACCAAGTAAAACATACTTCTGAAAAACTTTATTCAAGAGAAAAAGCTTCCCCCCCCCTAATTATAAGGTGTGCAGGGAAATTACTAACAAGGAACAATTATAGCCCTGTCCTCTTATTATCATTCCTTGACTAGACAATTCGGTATTTTTCCAAGATGTCACAGTATTTCATGTTACTACAACAGATTCTGCTACAAAGAGGAAACCCAGCGTTTTGTTTTCTGTCTGCCTCCCTGAGCAGCACTTGCCTACCACTGCCTCCTTCTCCTTGGTTTCTCTACAAGGAGTCCATGAATGAACTCCACTAGGCATGCATGTACAATGTGAAAGCACAGTTTCTCATGCAAGAAATTAAAGGCTCAGCACAAAAATAAAACAGTCTTATTGTGGAATTTAAAAGTTCCTCCTACATAAGTCTGAAAATGTTCCTGCTGAAAGCAGAGGTTATTTTCCATAGAATTTGGTCATACTGTGCCACAGAATACTTAGAGCTTCAGGCAACAACAGAGGATACACAACTGCATACACAGGCAAATCGAAGACAAACTATATTCCAGTATTACAAAACTTTGCCAAGATACAAAAGACAAAATAATTTTTAGTTGACTGAAATTCTTTTCCAATTGAAGTTTTCTTAATTGTTTAAAATGTTTTCAAATCATACACAAACATAACTCTTCGATGAGATAAACAGAATGTGGTCACATTGCCCCAGTTCCCCATTTCTCTTGTTTGGGGACATTGAGAATTATATTTAAGATTTATGTTGAAATCCAAGTTAAGTTATAAGTAATGGAGTAAAAAATAAAAATAAAATAAAAATAAAACTATCAGAAGTTTAAACCTTCTTCAGTGCTATTACTAAGATACGGTGTTTCCGGTTTTTAATCAGGTTAAAGGCAAGTAATGTAGCCGTCTAGAGATTACTGTATCAAAGGACTTCCTTCAGCACAAACAGAACTTTAAACTGAACACAGATTTTTTTCCCCATTAACTCTGAATAGTGCAACTTTATAATTACTTTGTGTTTGTCCCAATAGTCTCTGCAAAAACAAAAATTTGATTACTTTTTTCTCCTTTTTTTTTACCTTGAGATCACGGTACACAATCTTCCCAGAATGCAGATAGTCCAGGGCAGAGACAATTTCTGCACCATAGAAGCGTGTGCGGTCCTCTGAGAACACCCGCTCTCTCGACAAATGGAAAAACAGCTGCAGGGTAAACAGCAGGGACAGGATTGTAATAATTACTGATTTAGTGGGGGAAATTAACACAAACATAAAACACCTCTCATCACCATATTGTGATGATAGATAGTGTACTCTCAGTGGACACTCAGCACTCTTAGACAGCAGCTGGCTTATCTTTTCCAGGTTTCCAAAGGGAGAAAGCGAGCTGTTAAATCAGCGTTTTAATCAATATACCAATCTTGTTTAAGGCATTCTGCTTGCTACTCATTTAACCTTCAGTTACCAGAGGAAAAAAAAAAAAAGTAGGCAGCAGCAGCATCATTCTGTACTTCTCCCACCAGCACTTCTCAGATGTTTATTTTAAGCCACTGAGAAATATCACTAAAACAACCAGATTCGGGTTCTGCCTTAAGTTTTCCAGTAATTTATTAACTTTCCTTTGAACTGACAAAAGTCTAGCTCCTCTGTGGACTTCAACTGAACAGGAGAACAGATATTTTACAAAGCCAGCATATTCGTACTGGTAAGAATATTCATAGACACTATAAAAAACAATACAACAACAGCTTATAAAAACAAGTCTATGTATTTAGTGTATTCATTTATTAGGGGGAGTTGGAGGGGTGGGGCTTGTCTCTTCTTTAGTACTTTATAAGTAACAGACCTTTGCAGATACTTTTTCAACTAAAGTCTTTCAGCGTAAAATATTAGTCATTAAATGTTGCCAGTATATTCAGCTGCAGTGAAAAAGTGTAAGGTCAAGTTCTGTAAGGCTGTCAGCATCTTACTGGATAAAACGTCACCCTCAGAACCTGGAACAACACCTACAAAAGCAGAATTTGTCTATTTAAATGCTCTCTAAAATGGCTAGTTTTATTTACTGTGTTAAGAAAACCTGGGAAAGTCCTCAAGCAAAGATTAGTGAGTAGGTCTCTGCATTCTGCTTAGGACCAAATGGATTGCCTGCCTTACCCCTTCAAGTTACAACGGTTTTCATTTTACCACAACAGCTAACAATCAACAAAAAAGAAATACACAAGTGTGATCATCTATAAATTAAACAGAGACAAGGAAACCCATAGCAATAAAAATAACAATAATGTGCTTAATTTGTCATGACCACATCCTACTTTACACCAGTAGTAAACCTACACTGCTGACACAGCACAGAACAGTTAAGAATTTCTGCAGCTCTTTTCAGAATGTGGATTTCTCAAAGTCTAATTAAAAAGTCAATCCTATAAACAAACAGAAGGCAACTTCTTTCCTGAGTATTTTATTTCAAATAATGTGTATTCCTTTCTTCTGGACTTAAAGTTCCCACTAAAGTGAGCCTTTTGGCAGCATATACTTGTATAAGCAAAGACTTAACAGAAACTACAGTATGGTTCAAAGAGCATATTTCATTTCTGTTCTTTGTACCTGAATTCCCTTTTCAATTTCTTTTTGAATTCTCAAGACGCCCTGTATAAAAATGGAATACCTGCATGACAAGGAGGATCATTATTTTGTAGGTATTTCAATAGCTCCTGCTGATCATTTCCCTGTTTAAGCACCCATCCCTGGTGGCAACATCAACCCTGCCTGTAGTAACCTGCTGTCTGTACTGAGGACTTCTTAATTGCCAGTGCAAACACAAGACCACTACAGACTAACTCTGCCTTCATGAAGTGCCTCACATATAAATTTGAGAAAATAATCAATAATTTTCTCAACTTTGTGGGTCTTTTCCACACATTTCTGCAAGATTTCAGTAGGAAACAAACACCACTAAGTAGGTCTTCATCCAAGTAAAGCACAATACAAAATGTGGGTCATTTGTGACCATTCAGCGGTCTCGTCTCTTTCATAAAAAATGAGCTAATATTAATAATTTTTAAGAGTTTTGCTTATTTTGACAGACTCAAAGTAACACAAAAAAGGACAACTTTCAGATCACTTTTTAATGTCTACAAATAGCACTTTCCAAAAATTTATAATATAACCTCCAGTTAGCCCTATATTTATATCTATGCAAAAGGACTATTGCAATTTTCTGTATGAAAGAGACAAATCCAGTAGATGAGCAGCAAAGTCTCAGAAAATTCTAAAACCTCGGGATACTTGTCAGTAACAGATGTATTAGTTTCCATTAAAAAAAAAAAAGTGTTCAAATTTGAATCTGAGAGTTGACAAGCTGACAAGTCAGCAAAACAAAGTTTTATTTTTCTAACAAAATATTCTTGACATTCATTCTAAATACTAACTTCAAAGTAAAATGACCAGCTAGAAACAACTAGCAACAGTTCTCTGTTTGCAAGAGACCATGAGTTCCCAAGACAGGTTATTTTAACATTACATGACATAACAGTCACTCTTCAGAAGTATTTTTCTTCTTATTATAGTAACAGTACTATACATATATACCAGTTTTGAACAAAAAATTTATATTTAGATGTAAAAATGCATGTTAAAAGTGAATTCATACATTCATACACTATAAAGATACTAAAGCAAATTTTAAAATTATAATAAAAAAATCTAATTCAGTGAGATCACAGCATTATTTTCAGCTAATTATTTAGTTGGTTCACTATTTTGGAATAATTATGCCACCAGGCTTTATTTACAATTGTCAGAATAAGGATTAGATTTTTTAAGTCAGAGAAGGAAAAAACTAAATCTGATGGAAGGATATGAAAAAAGCTACCAACATTTGCACTATTTATTGATTTACAGTTATTAAATATACGCTATAAAGTCACTGGAATTGCAATAGAAATAGCTTTGGCACAAAGAAAGCCATTTTGCACATAACATTTTTGATGGCATACATGAGGGTGCTATAGTTACAGTGAGGACTGGAGCTATAAATTTCCTGGTATGCTTTTATTTAAAAACTGAACAACAATGTTGCCATGGGTTTTTTTTCCTAATAAAAAGTCTTAATGGAAAGATTTGAGCACATAAAAACAAAGATCGAACATAAAGGTATATCCAACTGCAGAACCAAGCACACCAAATAGATAAATACAACGTTGTATCAATTGATACGTTAAACTTCTATAACGCTAGTGACCTATTTAGCATGTTAGAAGTTGTATGACTAGCTCCTGCGTCTGTATATTGGGTTTGCTCAGCTCTGCAGTTAAACACATTTTATATTTGTCTGCTGTTTTGACTCTTTAGCAAAGCATTTTCAGTTAGCAGCCTTGAAAGAAATAAATATAGTACCCTTTTCTTGGACTAGCATAACTTTATGCTAAGAAACACTCATTTACTTAAGTGTTTAGGAAAACAAAACAGGATACAAGCAAGATAAAAATGATACAGGTCACAACAAAACTCAGCTATTTTTCATTAGGTAGGTTGTAAATTTTCTGTCTTTTTTCTAGACAGTAATAGCACTTGTTCAATTACAACCAATCATTTAGTTCTCTCTTGCCTAAAGAACTGAAGAGCCACAGAAAATAAAAAATGCCAAGCGGAACAGAGATTCAAAATTCCTGTGTGCAAAACTATCTGAACAAATTTTAAGAGTCTCATTTATTATACAGATAATTACCAACTCAGCTTTTTACAAAGTATGGAATTTGGAATTATCCTGAAAGAGCAAAGCACGGAAGTTAATCAACTTATTAGTCAGCTGAACCAGTGTACTCTGCAGAGAAATGTAAGTAATATATTACATTCCTAAAGCTTTTCAACCTCTAAAGCAAAATGCTGGAAATAAAAAGTAGAAAAAGACAGTCCGAAAGCATTCCAACAATAAAGATCCATTCTTAGAGTGTAATTTTTTATAGCACAGTTTATACTAGTCTCTGGCCTGGAAGTTGGGGGAACACTATCATATACTACAACATACTGCAATCATATAGTACTCAAAATTACAGGGGTTACAAAAGGAAGAGGAGGCAAATCGGGAAAGCCATCATCAATACATCCTTACACTTCTTTTTTTTTTCCTAAAAAATGTTGATAGGACAGAGACAGCAAAAAAATATATAAAAATTAATGGGGCTTCTTTTCTTTAAAGCAGGCCTGTGTTCATCTGTAAGTATTGATAATTTTACTTATTTAAAAATATGTACATGAATATTCTATATTTTGCACCAAAGTGAAGAACAGTTTACCACGCAATACTGTATGCATTTTTTCACCGCTCATAAAATATGCTATTTCAAAGTCTTGATAATAGAACATGGTCATCTCAACTAAGCCAGATGAGAATTATTTTCCTAAAATCAAATTTCAATGTCTTAACACTACTTTAATGTAATTCCTTCACTGTAACAATGGCATTGACAAGTAACTACAACGTTAGAAGTATCCTTCAGCTCCATACTGTAACATAGTTTATGATCAACAGATATTGCTAAGCATTTCATCCAGAGTCCAACAGCAGTGCTAGAAGAAGTAAAGGTTTTCAGTCCAGAACAAAGATTTCATGATTGGGCCCTTAAAGAGCAGAAAATTAACTGTATGATTCTTGTTTATAACCATTTTAACACAATCTCTTCTCCTCCATAATGACCCCCTTTCATCAACTGTTTTCCTTCCTAATCATAGGAAGAGGAACTGGAGATTCCTAGTACCAACCACACTTTCTATTAGTGTAGTAGGGCAGAAGCCTGAATTGTGGCATTTTCTTGCTTTCACCTGGGTGAGAGTCAAGAATGCAAATGTAAAGCTCAGTAAGTCTTTCATTTGGAGGACTGTTCAATGGGCTCCTGAAAGACATAACACATGAAAATTCCCAAGCAACTGACTCAGGCACAATTGTTTAAAAAGAAATCTTTAATCTAAAGGAATTTTAAACAGAAACACACTGAAGGTAGTACAGCTCTGGAAAGAGAAACACGGTACTGCTACAGTCAATTTTCCACTAGAAGGTTATAATTAAAAGATGAATTTTCAAAACCTTCCACAGTGAGAAACCATTGCAAGGAAATGAAACTTTCTTGGAACAGAGAGAATAGTAGAGGGAAGCAGCAAAAGAAAAAAATCTGTGTACCATATAGAAGATATGCTCAGAAATGGCTAAAATGCTGGCTAGAGTTTGTGCAACTTTTATTCAGTAGTTCACAGTATCACACAGTATCACAGTATGCTAGAGATTGGAAGGGACCTCGAAAGATCATCTAGTCCAATCCCCCTGCCGGAGCAGGAACACCTAGATAATGTTACACAGGAATGTGTCCAGGCGGGTTTTGAATGTCTCCAGGGAAGGAGACTCCACAACCTCCCTGGGCAGCCTGTTCCAGTAAATAACCAGGCTGTTTTTACAAATATGAAGTCCTTTGTATTTTTTAGCAGAGAGTGACTAAAGTCTGAAATTCACAGAAAACTTTGGTAAGATTAAAGATTTTCCTATTAAAAAGGACAGTCTGTCCAACTTTTCAGGAACCTGCTTAGTAAGGTTCCATGGGATATAGCCCTAGAGGGCAGGGGGGCCCAAGACTCTTGGTTGATATTCAAGGATCACCTGCTACAAGCTCAGGAGTGTTGCATCCCGACTAGAAGGAAGTGCAGCAGGAGGGCCAGGAGACGTCCTTGGGTGGATAAGTAGCTCCTGAGGAAAATTCAAATGAAAAGAGAGGCTTATAATAAGTGGAAGCAAGGACAGGTGGCACAGGAAGAGTACAGGGACGTTGTCCGAGAAGCTAGGGACCAGGTTAGGAAAGCTAAGGCTCAGTTAGAATTAAACTTGGCTAGAGGTATTAAAGATAACAGGAAGGGATTCTACAGGTACATAGCAAATAAAAAACAGACTAGGGAGAATGTAGGCCCCCTCAGGAAGCTCTTGGGAGAACTGGCTACACAGGATTTGGAGAAGGCTGAGGTTCTGAATGACTTCTTTGCCTCGGTCTCCACTGGCGAAGGCTCTGACTGCACCACCCAAGTCTTGGAAGGCAGATGCAGGGACTGTGAGAATGAAGACCTTGCGCCCACTGTAGGAGAGGATCTGGTTCAAGACCATCTTAAAAATCTGAACGTGCACAAGTCCATGGGTCCTGATGAGATCCATCCGCGGGTCCTGAAGGAGCTGGTGAATGAAGTTGCAAAGCCACTGGCCATCATATTTGAGAAATCATGAAGTTCCCGATGACTGGGAAAAGGGAAATATAACCCCCATTTTCAAGAAGGGGAAAATGGATGACCCAGGGAATTACAGACCAGTCAGTCTCACCTCTGTGCCTGGCAAAATCTTGGAGCAGATTCTCCTGGAAGGCATGCTAAGGCACATGAAAATCAACAAGGTGCTTGGTGACAGCCAGCATGGCTTCACTAAGGGGAAATCCTGCCTGACCGATTTGCTGGCCTTCTATGATGGGGCTACAGAACTGATGGACAGGGGTAGAAAGTTGACATCACCTACCTGGACTTGTGCAAAGTGTTCGACACTGTCCCACACGACATCCTTGTCTCTAAATTGGAGAGGCATCAATTTGATGGATGGACCACTCGGTGGATAAAGAACTGGCTGGATGGCCGCACACAAAGAGTTGTGGTCAATGGCTCAATGTCCAACTGGAGACCAGTAATGAGTGGCGTCCCTCAAGGATCGGTGTTTGGACTGCTGCTGTTCAACATCTTCATTGATGACATGGACAGTGGGATTGAGTGCACCCTCAGCAAGTTTGCCGATGACACCAAGCTGTGTGGTTCGGTTGATACCCTGGAGGGAAGGAATGCCATCCAGAGGAACCTTGACACGCTTGTGAGGTGGGCTGATGCCAACCTCATGAAGTTTAACCATGCCAAGTGCAAGGTCCTACACCTGGGTCAGAGCAATCTCAGGCACAGCTACAGGTTGGGCAGAGAAGAGATTCAGAGCAGCCCTGCGGAGAAAGACTTAGGGGTGTTGGTTGATGAGAAAATGAACATGGGCCGGCAGTGTGCACTTGCAGCCCAGAAAGCCAACCGTATCCTGGGCTGCATCAAAAGGAGCGTGACCAGCAGGTCGAAGGAGGTGACTCTGCCCCTCTACTCTGCTCTTGTGAGACCTCACCTGGAGTATTGTGTGCAGTTCTGGTGTCCTCAACATAAAAAGGACATGGAATTGTTGGAACAAGTCCAGAGGAGGACCACGAGGATGATCAGGGGACTGGAGCACCTCCTGTATGAAGACAGGCTGAGGAAGTTGGGGCTGTTCAGCCTGGAGAAGAGAAGGCTGCGTGGAGACCTCACAGCAGCCTTCCAGTATCTGAAGGGGGCCTATAGGGATGCTGGAGAGGGACTCTTCACTAGAGACTGTAGTGATAGGACAAGGAGTAATGGGTTAAAACTTAAGCAGGGGAAGTTTAGATTGGATATAAGGAGGAAATTCTTTCCTGTTAGGGTGGTGAGGCACTGGAATGGGTTGCCCGGGGAGGTTGTGAATGCTCCATCCCTGGCAGTGTTCAAGACCAGGTTGGACGAGGCCTTGGGTGAGATGATTTAGCGTAAGGTGTCCCTGTCCACGGCAGAGGGGTTGGAACTAGATGATCTTAAGGTCCTTTCCAACCCTAATTATTCTATGATTCTATGAACTTTCTATTCCACATCTTTAGCCAAAAAGAAGCACATAAGCGAATCAGAAGAGTTTCTTCAAAGAAAATTGCCTACTTAGTTAGGGAATGCTCATTATTTTCCACTGTGGCAAAAATTTATGGTTAGATTCACTGAATTAGGGAACCACTAGCAAAGAAGGTGAGCAACTCTAACAAACAAGAGCATCACACCTGAAAAAAGTGACACACCCTTGCCAAAGTACATTGCAATTATTTAAATCCCAGTAAGCAAAAGCAGGCTGCCACCAAGAGACCCATGACACAAGATGTCTGCAGCATTTACCACAAAGGTGCCCTGCCCAACGCAGACGAATGCAAGATACACACCTGATCAAAACATAGTGTCAGAGTATTCAATCATAAGAAAGGAGCTGAAAACATTCCCTCTGGGCTCTGCTCTGCATTCAGATACGGCAGAAAAGTATCTTACAAAAAGGTAAGTGTCTGAACGATAGGCTGATTTTCAAAACACTTTCAAAGTATATCCCCTGAGATTACAGAAATACAGTAAGATCTTACACAGACAAAACTTAAGAAGAATTAGCTAACTCATTAAGGCGCCACGTTTAAAATGCATTGTAAATAGCACTGACTTACTATTGCTGACACAAGTTCGATGTTAAATAAGCCAGCTGAGTGTCCAAGAGAAGGCTGTTATCCCATTACTGCTGAGGAAGATTTTTGTGTCCAACTAGCCAAAATGGTTAAACGCCTGTGATGTCCAGAAATGGGTTTATACATATTGAGTCAAAAAGTCATCCTCCCATTCGAGAACCCTATAGTCATGGCTGGTAGAAGGCCATGAACAAGTTAGAATGTAAATGGGCTTCAGATTGAGCACTGAAATCACCAAAGCAACAAATGCAAGACAGGCACTCTGGGGGTGCTCAGGCATTAGGGTTATAGCTGAAGACAGTTTCATCGTAGGAGAACACAGGAAAAGGATAATGAAAAACATGGTACCATACTGCAGCAATTCCTGAATGAAGGAATAGTTTTCTAATAAAAAAAGCTAGTGGAAATACTTAGTACTTTAGTGTTATTATGCAGCATATAGTAGACAAAATAAGGAAAACCCCCTAGTTAATGTTGTAATCTGACACAGTCTGAATAGCAAACAGCACTTAAAAGGGAGATGAAAGCCCTCTTCTTAGATTGCAATTCTCTTTAAATCCACTTGACGGATATAGTTTTTGATATTACATTCTTCAGGAAATAGCTGGAAGACAGCAATGGCTTAAAGGCTAACTACACTAATAAGTTTAACACTTAACTTCAAATTTCCAAAGTACACAGCAAGTGAAGAGGAAGAAGTAATGAAAAATATGAACACTTTTCTCATACATATTTGCAACAGCTACAGCAAAGAAGAAAGCGCATATTTCACATTAGGACAAAAATAAGACTAGTAACCTTATTTTTGATTGTTTGCACTACATTATGACCATTTCATGCCAGAACATGCTATAATATGCTTGAAGAAAAAACAGTAAGATGTTTGTAATTATCTCTCTACCATGAAATTATCTTTCAAAAATCTAATTTTTTCCGGAATAAGAACTACTTTTGACAAAAAATCCTACTTTTTTTTTGACAGCACAGCTGTAAAACACATCCACATTTCTTTTAAATAACAGTTTTAAAAAATACAAAGAAAAAAGGCAACTTTCAAAGATACCAGAAAGCAAAAGAGGCAAGAAAAATACTATCTTTTAAAGCGTAACCCAGTGACAGTATTACTATTAAAAGTGCAGAACATCTTTTTTCTACTTACTTCTCCTCCATTAACATACTCCATCACAAAACACAAACGATCCTTTGTCTGGAAGGAATATTTCAAGGACTTGCAAAGAAAACAGCAAAACCAAACAATTATCATCTTGTATTAACCCAATTTCTTGCACTTAAACTGTAACAAAATTTAGTTTAATCCTCTTAAGCAAACAATTCTGATTTGGTGAGAACTTTCAGAGTAATTAAAAGTGTAAATTCCTATCTGGAGCTTGTGATGAATTAACAAAAACCTTCATGTCTTCCTTCAGCTCTGCCACATGCCCACTGATATGAAAACATCATGCTTGTTATAACAGAATTCTACATAGTTGCTAAAATTCACAATTCTATACAGGTTTCTTACTGCCATATATGGAACCAGCTATTCTCACTCATTTTATGATGTCCACTTCAATGATGCCCATGAAGAGAGAGATTACCATATTCTTTTTCATTTCTCCCATATCAAAACTTAAAACTGATCTAAATCTCCAGCCTGCTTTCATATCCAAAAGGAGTTTCTAGTTTCACATACCACACAATGTTAAAAACACTGATGAATATATTTATTTACATATCATTTAAAAATTGTAACCAATGTTATTATCTTAATTAAAATTTTTGACTTTTCAATGTTGATTTGATTTTGCTTGGAAAAATTATACCAAAGCAAATCTACAGATACAGTTCAAAAGAAACAAAACACAGTAGAACTACACATAACAAAATCATTAGGAGACTCGTTTGACTTAAAATACTGCATGTGTCCTTAAAATATTTGCTTAAGAATATCAGAGACATTTAAAGATGCAACTGCAGTAATTTGCACAATTTGACCGCCTACTCCTGCTTACCTTCACACTCTAAATTAAATAACTTTAGGGGATCTCATTTCTTTTGACTTTATTTCCAAGAATATTTTGGCCAAGCAATGTGAATGCAATCCTCTGCTTTCTAAAGGGTTTGGTTCACGATTTTCTAAATAGGAAAGCTTCCATGTTATACTCTGGTATTTTAATACAAAAAAGAAAATAATTTTTCCCAGCCTTAAAATACAGGTTAATCATCTTTTGAAATCAATGAAAAGACTTTCTAATACATTCTCAAAACAGAGGAATCAGAATTACTTCTACATAAGTCAGTTGTAAAATTAAAGCTGTCATGAATCTCAAAATTTTCATCTTATTTTTAACAGCTTCAATACCTTCTATTAAATATAAACCATATGAAGACAATGACACTGAGGGAGTGGGGTTTGAGCTTTGTTGCTCCATGGGCTACTTATGTTGAACAAACAGTAATTTTTATCTTTTTATTGAACTCAATTAAGTTTTCTTGATAAAAATTACTTGATATTATGTGATATCAATAACTTTTATTAAGAAAATATTCAACTTGTGATTTTTGTATATGAACAACAGTTACATTCTACAGTTAAACTGGAGGGCAGTTGAGCTTCACAAAACGTTTAGAAACTGACCTTCTGAACTCTTAAATACATATTCTGATAAATGATATGAGAGGCACTAGATAGCCACTACTTGTTTACAAATAACCACAAGAAAGACTTCCAAATTTGTAAATACTGTTCATAATGAAATACCCATCACGTTGAAAACCACCTGCTAATGTACTTAAAACTAATTCTTAATACTTACAGTTAAAAAAGGGTGTCTCGTATTTTTCAACACTCTGCTTTCTGTAAGCGTATGAGCTACTTCATCCTGAGAAATAAAGAGTAGAAGAAGTAAGTCTGAATTAACATATAAAATTGTCATTGAATTAATTAGGGGGAAAAGGTCAACACTTTCAAAAAGAATAAGCTGCACTACAGTTTTGGAAAATGATCAAACCTGAGAGAAACATGAAAAATAATTCATGTTTTCTGAAAAAAAGATTTTAAAGTAAATTTAAGTTTGGCAAAATACAATTAATGGGTTTAATTTTAGTTTTTTCTTATTTTCGTGCTTTAAATGAAATCTTTAATTTTACATCCAGTGGCAAGTAAGAAATTATAATATTGAATTTGATAGTTTGAAAATACAGACATCACAACTTCACATTTCTGGTATGAATCATCTGAACAACGTATCTACAGAGAGATTGAAGCAATTTACAAGAAACGTACACGTAATAACTTAGAGGTATCTATAAAACCTAGTCTAATCTAGTCTAATGTTAAGTAAAGACAGTTTTGCTGTTTTTAAACATTCACTCGTTTCGGGATTTGTTTTATTTTTCTCTAACTTTCTTCTATATGTAGCCATCCAAAACTCACTCCTTCCCTCCATCCCTCATCCACTTTGGCTGTCCTTAAGAGTCAAGTGAGCAGTGCTACCCTGACCGAGAGTGACGCCCTTCCTCAAGGACCATGGGAGGTGGGAAGATGTCCGTACAACCTCACCCCCTTTCCAGACAGATTTTGAGAAAGAGGCCCTCCAACTAACCCCTCTGCCAGGGGGGATGCCAGGAGGGGGACACATGGGGGGTGAGAAACAGCCTGGAGGGGTGACAGGGAGCCTCACAGTGGCAGGGCTATGGCCCCTCATGCCACCAGGTTTGCAGAGAACGGGGCAAGGCAGGGGGAAGGGGGAGAGGATGGCAGGAACAGGGCTCACCCTGCACTACATTTTCTGCAGTGCTAAGCTACCACTATTATGCAGAGCTGAAGACTAACTTAGTGCGACTCAAACCTCAACGATAGCCCTGCAGAAGTAAATATATTTAGTCAGAGTATACTTTATTATCGCTACAAATAATACCAATGTAACATCATTGTACTACATGCTTAGCAGACAGTGCTCAGCAGATAAGGTATTACTAAACCGGAAAGTAAACACAGATGTCAGGAGCTTTAAATGAGACTTTAAAAATTGTCAAAATAGGAAGTTAAACAACAACAACAGAGTTACTGGTAAGAAATTATGATGCCACTTAGCTGAATAGCAGTGCAACGCTGAGCCTATACACTACAACCGCATACTGGGGTTAAAACAAAAAACTCTTCAAAGAGATAAACAAATAAAGCTAACTTTAGGCTTGCTTATTTTTCAACCTCAGTGGTTCACCAGATACAGGGAATAAAAAGCTGGCAATAGCCAGTTTTTCTAGAATTGCTTCAGAAGTTTGTGATACTGGTAGCAATTTCCCGGTAACTGTAATATTAATCTGCCATGAAAATTTAGGATCAACAGATTTAGTCTGAACTGAGCAGATGCTACATAACCTTCTAGATACAGCTGTCAATGCATCACTTTCTGCTTTATATTATGTTAACTGTTAGGGTATGACCTTCTATAGTGCACATTATAGGCTGGGTTGGGACTGCAGATCTCTACCTAGTGACCGTCCCCTTAGCACTGATCTCCAGAGTTAAATGTTATCGATAAATCCCCATGGCATACTTACACACTCACTAGTTTAGACAGCTAAATTCATGCCCAAATCTGCTTATGTTTTCAGTATGGGAAGGAGTGGGAAAACTGGTATTTGGTGACTGTAGATAAAAAAAACACGATCCCTTCACTGGTGAAGATCTAAGCATAGTCTATTTTTTATTTTTTTCATCAGTTTCTTATCAATATACAGCCCTACTATGATAAACTTGGAGGGACTCCCGCCAAAACAAAATTCCAGTTTTGAGGAAGTCAAATTTAAAAGACTGAGGTGCTCCTATTTTTATCACAGGATGAAAGGTGTCTTTCCTTACACACTTAAATCTTCTCACTGGTCAACAAAGAGGGAGAAAAATGACCCTGGGATTGGTTTTAATTGTGTCTCCTGGTGATAAGAGCATGTAGGTTTCTTGCTCTCAACTTGTTCTATGGAAGTGGGATTCAAAACTTTAGAATTGCTACAAACAAAGCTTAGACTGGATGATCTTCAAGTTTAAACTTCTTAACATTACAACCAAGCAAAAGAGCTAGTAACACTGCACTAATCAAGCTTAATTGACTGGACAATGCAGTTTAAATTACTTCAACAGACATCAGTTTCAGACTTCTCTTGCTCCTCAAAAACTGAAAATAATTGCATTTTTAGTCCCCATCTTAGCTAACTTAGCAGAACAGAGAACAGGTCCATTAAATTAGTTTTATTTATCAAAAAAAAACCAACACAGTTCACTTAGAACTTTTTTCTTAAGTATGTAATATACCCTAGAATGCATTTTTTTCTAGTTTTAAACTTGAATTGCACTGTCTTTCTAACCAGCGAACTCTCTCAAAATGATGGCATATTCTAGATTGCAAGATGCTGGAAAAAGGCATGCAAAATGGGTACACATTCTAGTTTTTGTATTCTTGTTTTCTGAAGATACAGAAATATTTCTATCAATTTCAGTTACCGTCAAAAAAAAATATAACTTATATATTAGATATTGATCATAGTATTTGAAAATATTACACAACATTAAAACTATGATCTTCCTTACCTTTGCAATAATGACTTCTTTTTTCAAAATCTTCATAGCATAGTATTTCCCACTAGCCTTCTCTCGGACAAGGATAACTTTGCCAAATGTGCCTTTCCCCAGTAGTTTTAAATAGTCAAAATCATTCATTGTCTGTAAGAGGCAAAGAACAAGAATTAGCAAGACTTACGTTATTCACTTCCAACATGTACAAGTGTGTCCCCATATAATCAAATGGTGTTACCAAAATAGTAACAGTTTACAAAAAATAGGTACATTTCTATGATCAAGTTCATAATCATAAAATCATAGAATAGTTTATACTGGAAAAGACCTTTAAGATCATCAAGTCCAACCAGTAACCTAGCACTGTCAAGTTCACCACTAAACTATGTCCCTAAGTGTCACATCTACATGTCTGGGTCTTTCTTTTTTCAAATACCTCCAGAGATGGTGACTCAAACCACTTCCCTTGACAACCCTTTCAGGGAAGGATTTCTTCCTAATATCCAATCTAAACCTTTCCCAGTGCAACTTGAGTCCTTTTCCTCTTGTGCTTGATTGCTTATTATCTGGAAGAAGTGACCAAAACCCACCTCACTACAACCTCCTTTCAGGTAGTTGTAGAGTGTTAAGGTCCCCCCCTGAGCCTTCTCTTCTCCAGACTAAACCTCAGCCATTTTTCATAAGACTTGTGCTCTAGACCCTTCATCAGCTTTGTTGCCCTTCTTTAGACATGCTCCAGCAACTCAATGCCTTTCACTGGCATTCTTGGCTGCCTGGGCACAAGCTGGCTCATGTTCAGCTGGCTGTTGATCAACACTCCCGGGTCCTCTGGCATTGTTGTGACCCAAATGCAGGATCGCCACTTTGCCTTGTTGAACTTCACACAATTAGCCTCAGCCCATTGATCCAGCCTGTCCAGATCCCTCTGTAGACACTTCCTACCCTCAAGCAGATCTTATTTTTACAAAGCACACATAGAACAAAGCATTTAATGAATACTCCACATCTAAGAAAGCCTATCAACTCTTGTACTACCAGGGACGTAAGAATGTATCAGCAGGTTTTGCATAACACCAACCACTGTACTGACTGTTTTTCTAAAACATACACGATCCTTACTGCAGTATTATACCAGTAAGACTCTACTGAAGTCTTTGTATTAGAAGTGGACTTTTAAAAAATTGAGTACAGATTACAATTATACGTTTTTTACATTAATCAACCTGGCTCTGAAAGGAAAAGGTATCAAGTTATCCTCTCTCATATGACTCCATTATAGTGACCATTCAAGCATCTAGTACTGCCCTAGTTTTGCAGGTTAAATACAGCACATCCGAGAGCTGGTTCCATTATACAATTTGAGTCTAGTAGGTTTATCAACTCAACTGGAGTGGCACACATTGAAAGCATATGACCAGATGATCTCAGATCCCAAAGCAGTTTAGTCACTTTCATAAGCACATAGCCTGAGTCAATAATCATCTTAATTCTGCAAGTTCATTTCACAGACAGTTCAGAAGCACCAATCCTATAGTCTATGCATTAGCTGCAAAGATGAGGATACTGGAAAAAACAGCGCATTACTGAAATACAGTGACTGAAGAGGGTCACTTTGGAATGACAGCTGGGTTATTTTGGCTAACTCAGGGGCAAACACTGGTTTCCACCATGTGCTTCCAAAGCCCATCTTTCAGCGCACTGTGTTACCGGCTTCACTGCAGCACCACATCACACAGGCACCCAGGAACCTTGAGGAAATCAGTTAAAAGCTCTGAAAAACAACACGCTCACCTATTCTTGTTATAGTACTGTCCTGCAGTGTCAATAATCTTCCTTCTTTTGTGAATAATACACCATGAAACATTTATGAAGAATAATTATGCTCCGAGTCTCAGTTTTGCTAAATTGCATATACTTAATCCTTTTATGTGTGAGGAAAAGATCATGCCTTATCTTCCATCTTCCCAGAGTCCCTCTCTACCACTAGTTGCTGCCTCAGTCAGTTCTCTTGCATACTGGCATTCCAGATAAACTTCTACTTGTGCCTTCCACAACGTAATTAATAATTTCCTTATTTCCAGCAGAAACACTTCTACAGTGCCTACATGTCTCACACACATTCTAAGTGTAGAGCTATTGGGCATATCTCCACTGTGCAATCACAAGCAATGGTAGAAAAATATATTCTCTTGTAAGAAAAAATTAAGGCAAAAATTTCCTTCTGAAATTATTTATTCCTTTAAAATTGAGTCCATAATACTATTACTGTGGATCTGAAGTTGCTATCGACAAATGCAATGCTGTGAAAATAATGCATGCAATGGCTCACTGTCAGTTTGAAATCTGCTCACATAAGGGGTGAAACTGAAGTTCCACTAAACAGATGAATGCTGTAATTCCTTAGCTTTTACACATTCAACCTACAACCTAAAAGCAGCAAAAAATCTCCAACAGACTACTTAAGGTAACATCTGGCTAGCTGGGTATTTCAAAGCTTTATTTAAGAGAAGATGCTTTCCATACATCAATTTTCTAGCTACATCAGCAGGAATTAAATCTTTGTCCAACGTAATGGTTGATATGTAGCTTCTAAGCGATCTTGGTGAACTCCATTCTTTGCTCACTTAAACATTCTGCAGTGACAGACCTTATTTTGCTGCCAAAACCACCCTACATCAGGAAGAGCAAAACCGTGTTTATTCCAGTAAGAAATATGAGTAACAGATATGTCAAAGGCTTAGTATACTTTCTACTTAAAGCAAACTCACTTTACAGAAGTCAGTGTAAAATAAAAAAATTATGACCACAAATCCTTCAACGGTCACCTTTTCCAAAAACTAGCACAATGTGTCAAAACCAGTGACTCATGGTGCAGTATATAAAGTTGTGATCCAAACTCTCTGTGACTGCTAGTACTTAATCAGCTAAAGGTAAGACTTCACAAATATCACAGTCAGTACTTTGGAAAGTTAGGTTATCTACTTCAATAGTTCTATAATAACCATAAAGCAAACACAACTGCCTTTGTGCTGAAGGAGTGAAAACTGACAAAACCACATGAAAAATCCACAATGCATTCAAAACATAATTTAGACAGTGGATGAGTAACTCAGAGCACAGCCCTCCATATCTTCAGTCATAAGTTAACACGTTCCTTGATGAAGAGCGACCACCAGTTTTATTGATAATACTGAGTTACTGACCGTAACAACTTATTACTTACAATAGGCAAATATTCATGGTATCATAAGCAGTCTCAAAGGCCTTCTTCCCACACTTCTCATCTTTGAGAGGCTGGACTTAGAGAGGGACCAGAATCTGAATATAACCATCTCAAAAGCAGCCCTTTGCCCACACAAAGAAGGCGGATCTTGGCTCAGCTGATCACAGACATGGGTTTGATGCTAAGGGCAGCAAGCCAGTCAAATTGAAAGACTCATTTGCCTAAAATTTGCTTACATAATGTTAATCAAAGCAGTCATAAATCTAGCTGTAAGCTCTGTAAAAACAAGTTAAAAATATATGTGTATTTACAAGAAGAAGGTAATAGGCTTGCGAGATTTTGATCAGTGGCTTAACAGCAGGTTATGGCAGCAGTCCTAGTTCTAAGAATAAAGTCTCCTGATGTTCTCATTCTTTAGAAGCTCAGCAGAATGCTTAGAGATGATACACAGTGCAGGGTAACTCAAACGTCTGCCAAAGAACACAGGACCTTGGGAGATAAAAACACAGATGCCATAGCTAAGGGTGTGTTGAAAACCAATGGAGAAATGGAAATACTTCCTAAACCTGAGGGATGTTGGTAAACAACTTTGGAGGCTCCCATTAGGCTAGATTCTTTCTCCTTGATGATTTTTCCCACCTTTTTCATCTTTACCAAACTCTGAGAATTTAATCTTTTTCCTCATTACATCACTTTCTTGTTTCCTCTGAAAAATCTATTATTTACTTATCCTGCACCCTGCAAAATGAATTTGAAAACAAAGGAAAAGCAATAAAGCTACAGGAAACTGCACCAACCAAAGAACCGCATGGTGTTCAGCCTTCTCTAAAGCTTATTTACTTCCCTATGGATGACATATTCAAAAGAATACACCCTACTACTGGTGTTGAAAATTCCTGCCAAGGAACTATTTTTAAAAAATTCCTCATTTGCATAAGGATGATACCACTTGGAGTTTTCATCTGATTTCATGAGGAAGAAACTCTACTTACAAGGAATAGTACAGCAAGAAACTAAACCAGTTTGCTATGAATTTCTAGTGCTCTGAATTTTAGAGATGCTACTACTGTAAAACTTAAGTGGTACACTGCCACCACTGAAAAAATGAGGGGGGAAAAAAAAAGAAAAGAAAAGGAAAAAAACAGGCTTTTGGTTCTTCAGCTAATCTGGTCAGGGACATTGCTGTCAGGTCTGTTCAAATCAAATTCCACCTCCTAAAGACCATGTTCTTTGTAAACCTTTTGCTACCTTTTCAGAGAAGAACAGGCCCACTCCTCTCTGTCTTGTTTCTTATTTCTTAATCTGATTATGCTCTTCTACTCATATGTATACCATCTGGTGCACGCACAAGCAAAATTCACTGGGCTCAGATGTAAAAATCAGGTGACAAAACCAGCTTGTAGGACACATTGCACAAAAAATCCCTGAAATGAAAAGAAATCCAATACACACCCCACACCCCCCCAAGCAGTAAAATGCATTAAGTCATTATAACAGAAATGGTTCGATTACATTAACAGCTACAAAAGCTTAAACAGAAGTTTTTCAGAAACATTTTGACAAAACAGAAACAGCTCTAAAAAAAATACATTTTTTCCCAATTTCAATTAACATAGAAGGAGTGACAACTCCGCATCACTATATTATTTGTGATTCCAAGAACTTTTGAGAACCTTTCGCTAAAGTCTTCCAATAGTCAGAAATCTGGGATTTTGAGTCTTGGAAGAAAGACAATCCTTGTGGACACCAGCACGCTCTTCACTGACTAAAGAAACTCCATTCTGCTCTATTATAAGGTGTTGAATATCACCATTTTTCATTTCACCTTTCTCTCATAGAGTTTGCTCTTGGCTTGTTGCCAAAGCCATTAAATACTCTGCAATACTGCACACGCACTGTCCCAGTGGCTTATTTCAGCATTTCTTAAAGCATCAGTGCCAAGACAGAAACTAAATTGATCTTCCTCCTCCTTTTCTTGTTCCCACAAACCCTTTTGTTTTATGGGAAAATGCACTGCACTGTGAACAAGGAAGACATACACATCAGATAAACTTCTTATATTAGAAAGCATTAATTTTGACACCTTGAAAATGCTTGCTGTTATGCAGTGGTTTTGTACTCCACTAAGAGGAGTACAGGCTTGGAACCATGCTCTGATATTTAACAGAGCAAACTCAAATCCTTTCCACATAATCACACTGCTTCTCAGAAGACTGACACATCTTGAACGCTGCCTCTGCCTTGCTGTCACTTATCATATTGTACCCTGCAGCATAAACATTAAATATCTATGTCGCAAGGCTAAAAGTTCAATGTCAGCCTGACAATGTATGATAGGAGTATTGTTACAGCTGTATATAATTAGCTTTCACCTTTTTCTACAGCAGAAAAAGGTTAGAAAATTGCATACAATGAAACAACATGAAAGAATTGTTTACTCTGCAAACTTCTCAGAAGTTAGGACGTGACAGAACTAAACTAACACCTTTATTATATTTGTCATATCCATAAGAGTATAGTTTTCAGCCACTGATGTTTCTATGATTCTTGCTTCATACACTGCAACAAACAAAACATGCTTTATGAGTAAAGGAACACATTCACTATTTCTTTTCATTGTTCATCATTCAAAAGCATTCAGTTGCATTAGCTATAAGACTATTTTGCTCTGTCAGCAGACTTCCTCTTAGTTTTCTACAGGTTTCACACTTCTACATAAAAAGAATAAAGCCAGTCCTATAGAAAGAGATTATTATTTCTCATGCAATTTCAATGCATTTCTTGAGTCTGGTCAACCCTGTATAGTAAATGAGAGACATCCATTTCAGTGATCCATTCTTCAAGAGTAGTTCATACTTACAGAATCACAGGACAAAATGGAAACACAAAATAATAATAAGCAAATTTCTCTGTGGCATTGAAGCTTTAAAACATGCTCTTAGTTGTATGCTTATCACAATGACTCTGAAAATGCAACTACTAGTATGTTATAGCCAACAAGACACATATTCCTACTTACACCAAAAGCTGTGAAGGATTAAAAAAAAATAAAACATTGTTTTCCCTTACTTCATTGAAAACTAAAGCAGAGTTATTTTCCCAGTTAGCAAAAAACAAGGTCATTAAACCCCAAATCCTGCTAGCCTTTTTCATGCAAATTATCTAAATTGTACTGGGTATCATTTGCATGAGAAAGGGTGCAAATCTACTTGTCTAAAGAAAATATTTTATTACCACACTTCTAGAAGAGTAAACAAACAAAAAGAAAAATATGAAATACTAAAACAATAAGCAGAACATTAACATGTGCCTGAACAGCTGAACTTTGTTTTTCAGAAGTGCTGCATCAGAGAGCATAACAAATAAATAAAACTAAAGCAGTTCACCTTTACTGAAAAAAAGATGAACTTTTTAACAAGGGTAGGCAGTAACAGGACAAAGGGGAATGGCTTTAAGCTGAAACAGAGTAGATGTAGGTTAAACATTAGGAAGAAATTCTTCACTATGAGGGTGGTGAGACACTGGAGTAGGTTAAACATTAGGAAGAAATTCTTCACTATGAGGGTGGTGAGACACTGGACCAGGTTGCCCAGAGAAGCTGCGGATGCCCATCCCTGGAAGTGTTCAAGGCCAGGTTGGACAGGGCTTTGAGCAACCTGGTGGTTGAGCCTGTGGCAGGTGGATTGGAACTAGATGATCTTTAAGGTCCCATCCAACCAAACCATTCTGTGATCCTAGGATTCTATAAAATAAACACATATGTATTTTTCTGCTTATAATACATTGAAATGTATGTAGAAATACCAGTCCCTGTATATTGTTTTACCCAACTAGATCATTCTACAGACATTATTTTATGTATCAGTCTTGTCAGTTCTTTTTTTAATGTCATTACCTTTCTTTTATGATGGGTTGTTGAAGCATCCATCTCTTCTTCTCCTATATTGTCTATCTGTGAAGTTGGACTACAGTTCATCCTCTCCTCTTCTTGCCTCTGAAGTCTGTCTGCTACAGCCTGGATTGCTTCTGTCCATTCTTCCCTACCATGAACAAGCCAAAATCCCTATTAGAACTCAAATCCCAATAAATGATTTATAAGGTTTTTCACACGCTACATCGCTTTAATGTTCAATTCTCATGTTACACAGCAAGAGACTCATATAAATCCATCACTTCAATTTCTTTCCAAATTCTGCATTATGTTAAAGATGGTGAAGTTCAGCAGCATCAAAAAGGATCGCTGCATGGTTAATTTCAAGAATTACCAGTGTCTGATTTTGTAAATACATTAACAGTGAAAACCTGAAAACACTTGTTCCAGGTATAACATAGCTCAGAGCATAGAATGTCACCTCCTATCCAATACTATCTGATAACAACTTGCTGTTTTAACAGACCTTTTATAAAATTCTCCCTCTCTGTGAGACATTTTCACAGACAAAAAAAAAAAAAAAGATTTATTAAAACATGTTGTGTGTTCAACTCTTTTTCTGCCTTCACTTAAAACTCAACTTGTTGGCTAATTTCAAATTCCCCCAAGAAAAAGGTCCTCAAAGATAACTGAATTCCTACAAGCATCACAAAAAACAGCTGCACAGAGAGGCAGGCCTAGATGAGGGTTTCTGTGGAGACACTAGCCAGGGCAGCTGAGTCCATGGCTATTCTGTGCACCAGCTAACCAGCACAGACACACCAGCTATCCCATCAGCACACCACAGCCCTACACCAAGTGCAGCACCTGCTGTTTCTGCTCAGCCAGCAAGGGATACAGGAGAACTCTGGTGCTACTACTGAAAGCTGTCAGAAGTGCTACGCTGCATACACAGAAGAAAGACAGGGTACAGAAAAAGTCTAAGGTAGAATAAAAAAAAAATCTAAGTGAATATACTAATGACAGAGAAACAACAGCTAAAGCAAAATCGTTATTGGTTTGGTTTTTTTTTGTTACAAACAACATGAATAAAACCAAATCATAATATTAATCTCAACAGGACAGATGCCCACAGTGGGAAGACTCAGTGCATCTAACCAGAGACACAGTATAAAACATTTTAGCAAGGTACACCATCCCGTATCTCCTACATTCTTTTGAGGCATTAAATAACCTCATTCTTATGAGTTTGTGTATGTTTAAGGAAACAAGAAAAACTAATAAGCAAAGATAAAATAAATTTTATCAAGCATGCTGCTTTCTGTGCCAAAAAAATCCCGAGCGTATTAGAATGAGAAAAAGGAAAATTTAAGATAGCAAGCCTGGAAAATCCTTTAATGCAGGCTTCGACTGTTCAAAATTTAACACTTCAGAGACATATCATGACATAGTTTTGGCTTATTTGAACACACTCATCCCACCTACTCACAGGCAACTGAACACTAGCTATGAGCTCAGATAATATATTACAGAAGCTGACTTACAAATTCTTCAACTAACTGTTCAGATGTGCTCAGAATGTCACAGTTCCAAGTGCTGATCACTGTGCCATCCCAGTAGAGACTGTGCTGAGGCTTTTGTGTGAAAAATATGGAAAGCAAAAATAAAACCCTCACCGTTCCTCTGGCGTGTCTACATGGAACGTCCTCTCTATGACAGTGGTCCACTGAAGACATCTGATAATAAACGTGTTTGGCTTTGGTCGCTCTGTTTTCATTAGCTGACATTCTAGAGAAATACATGACATTGGCATTTTTAGACATTGCCAGTTAATGGATGAAGAGCAAATGAAATTACTTAGATGAAATACAGATAGCTTATGTATACCTATCCAGCATGTATCCACTACACATAAGGAAATACAGTATGTCAATATAACCATAGGCTTCAATAAAAGGTAGAAGGTAATAATCATAAGGTGAAGAAAGCAGTCAGAGGACTTGATGAAATGTGTATCATTGCCCATATGAACAGTGCAATCTTCATTTGCAAACTAGGTCTGTGTTATAAGGGTAAGAAAAGTACTAGAGCCCGGACTGCTCTAGTATGCCAAGGTAACAGCAGTAGCCACAGGCATATTTTTCCATCTGTACCTGGCAGGAGGAATATGACATTTTCCCTTCAATGGTAACCATGCCACAATTACCCATGCTACTGTCACTTTAGGATTAGATTTATTGTAAAATACCCTATTTGAGAAAGTTCAGATGTTGAAACTAGCTTGATTATTAAATATAGAATAACCATACACAGGGGGACTGTCCCAGGAAACCGTTCAGTTCTGTTGGTGCCCCAGAGCAGAATCAGGTATTGAATCTATGCTATTTCTCCTAAGTATTTCCCTACACTTGTTCTACAGTCCCCAAAAAGCAGTAAATTCAAAACCTTTGTAACCAAACTATTCCATCCAGCTATAAAGAAATTAATTATTTTTATAGTTGGATTTTTTTCCTAGTATTTAATTTTCCTATAATTTAAGCATATTGCTTCTTGCCCTATTGACTAATTTATCTTTTCAGTAGCTATCCCTTTTAGATATTCAAACACTATTTTATCTCTCTTCAGTCTTCCCTGGCCTAAATCAATTCAACCAACTTAACCTCACAGACTGTGCTTTCAGATCCAAGATCTTCCTTGTCACACAAATCTAGACACAGAGCAGACTGCCTATTACTCCTCTCTCACAAGACCACAACACTGGTAATTCAGGCAATGGTTCAATTAAACTGTGTGCTAGATTTTACAGTGTATCACAGTGCACTAAATATTACATCTGCAAAACACTGAGTTACTTAACTCTTTATTCATGCAAGTATATTTAAACATTTTTGTGACATTAAGGTTACTCTGTCAAAAGTGCAGTTTGTTTTCCTGCAGCTACCACGGAATAGACACAAACACTGCATCTCATGTTCTGGAATACTATCACTTCTTCAAAGCTGATCCAGACCAAACGTGTGATCTAAAATGATTCATCAGGTTCACAAATCAAACAATAATGAATATGGCAACACACTTCTTGTTCATTTACAATTGGCTGTAACTTCCTTTTGGCAGAGCTACCACCTACCAGCTGACCTACACCCTTTTACTGATGTGGCTGACTATACTTTAGCATGAAACCTTACATTTATTCTTAGTGAGTTACATTTTATTTATTCCAGTTAATGTCAATGCTTTACAAAAGGCATGTGATATGACGTGCACCACTTCACAAGGCATGCTATTCTCTCACAGATATGAATTATATGTTTTATGTATTTTTTCTTCACGAATTCAGGGTCTTGAAACCTCAACCATCACTGACAATTTTATAGGAATGTGTTTTAAATATTCTCCAAGGAGCTTTGTAAGACCCAGCAAACTTCCAGCCACCCAACATACCTAAGTACTGCCTCCCTCAGTTTTGCTTTCTTATGTCTTTATTGTTGTTGTTAATTGTACACAAGACACATACTCATAGCTGACCTTCTGAAATGCAGCTGCATACTGAAAATACATTAAAGCAATTCTCTTTTAATATTACTAGCTGATAACAAGCTTAAAGCCTTAGTTCAAGGCACTGATTGTATATACGAAAATCTAACCAGTTTGGGACACTATTATGTAAGAAATGACCTCTGCCTCCACGATATAAAGCCACACTAAGTATCATCAGACTTACTTGTACTGGACCATCTTGTAATACAGGCATGAAAGAACTGATGTTAGGGCAGTCTTTGTGAGCCCACCTTGATTTAAGAACTTCCATGCATACTGCAATTTTTATATTTGAAATTTGAAAAAGCAAAGAAGAGTGGAAGTGGGTATGTCTGTCAATACAATGGTTTTTCTGCAGCTTAGCAGGACACCTCAGAAGCTTTACAGACGTGGGAGAGAAACAAAGGAAATGTTGCACTGCAAAGGTGTATATTTTTTGATGCAAAAACCGTTCACCATATACTTATGTAAGTCAGACTGCTCACCGCTCAGGGGAGTGGCATTGCATTTAACAAACCTGCATACACTGTGGAGACTCAAAAGAGAAACAGCAATCCAACCACACTGCTTTTATTAACTCAGGGAGGTCTTGGGTGGGATGAGAGGCATCCTCAAAATTTAGAAGAAAGAGCTACAGCAGAATGGACACAGGAAGAAGGAATTTAACACAGAAGCTGGAAGAGAAACAAGGAGGAGGATAGAAGCAGATGACAGGAACTTGTGGCATGATGAAGCAGAGCTGTTTAGGATACATAAGCAGGCTTGCAGCTGAGTGCAAATATTACTCATGAGATCAAAGAAACCCCATCTTCAGGGATATGATTGAAGTCCAAGTTATGAACGTGATGATGGTGAGGCTAGGGTTAACAGGCTATTTGTTTTCTTAACTGCAGCTCTACGGAATGTGTTGAGCTACCTTCACAACAGAAGAGACTAGAAGCATTGTCTACTCTAAGATTATCTCATCTTACTCCTGACAAAACCACCCTCTCAGCTTTAATCCTATCACACTTCAATCATGTAGGCTGAAATTGTCTTTGCTGGGTGTCTGCCTAAAGCTGCACACTGCTGGAAAATACTACTCTTTGGAGACAAGACTTAAAACTTGGCAAACCAAGACCTTTGATATCCTTTTAGTATTCCTGTGAAAATGTAACGCATCTGGACACACTACATGTGGGAGGGATAAGAGTGGAGTGGAAGGAGGGTAAAAAATTATAATAACAATTGCTAAAGCATAAAATCATTGAAAACCTATGCACTGAAGTATAATCCAGAGGTTACAGATATCTCCTGCCTTTACACCTGCTAAATGGAAAGCTCTTTCTCCTATATTTATAATGCCTCATCCTATTCTACAGGCAATAGTAAAAAGAAGCTGCCTTGTTGAGGCAAAATCCAACACAGAAAAATGATCTACAGTAAGTTATTTACAGAAGAGAAGTTGGGAACAAAAGACTAGAGAATTTACTAAGGAAGAAGAGTAGAAATGGGGCAGGAAAAAGACTGGAACCTGTGCAAGAAAAAAGTTATTGGGGTTAGCTAGAATATAGCTAAGCTGGAGTAGCTAGTTTAGGAGAAAGAAGGTAAAAGAAGCTGTCAGGGACAGAAAATCGAGGTGACTACGTTAGATACAGTCAAACCTGCAAAAAAGGCTATTCCAGTTGAAAAGTACATCCTTTCCAGTGCCCGTAATGGAACCAAAGATTTTAAATTTCACCATTTTTTGACTGCAAATACATACAAAAATACATACATTAAAATTGCATTAATGTAAGTTTGCCAACTCAAGCACACAAAATTGGAACTAACAGAATTAAGCCTGCCTGGGTCCAAATGCTATCTATAATATGGTCTTTATCTATACATTTAGTATAGTATATATAGTATAGTAATTAATGTATGTATTAGCATGTAGATTATGTAAATTTGTATCTACTATATATGTAGCTATATTACTGGTACTACCTATATTATTTTTTTCAGGCAGTCCTCAAAGTGAAGATGCACATTATTAACAAGAACAAAACATGGATGCATATACTAAGCTCTGTAACTACCAGAGTATTTACTCTCTGAGTTTTCATTACAGATTATTAACTAAATCAATTAAAGGTAATAAAAAATACCTTAGCAATTGAAAATGGCACTGAGAATATACATATATATATATATATATATATATATAAAAAGCCATTCCACTATCACTGAAGAATTGTTATTAAAAAAAAAAATTTCTAACAAAGCTCAATAAGCTTTTTTAATAGTCTGTTAAAAGCAGCTAAAAGTTAAATTTCTTTGTGGAAGGCTGAAATTAAATATGTATTAACTATGTTTGTATCCTTAGAGTCTGAAGCAAAAGAGTTTCAGAAAGAACTGGAGGGCTACCTGTCTTTCTCAGCTAGACGAAAGTGACTGAAGTCTGCTGATATTTAGTACACCCACATGCTTCATGTGCTGCTGTATACAAATGGTATACAAGATTCCTGTCAGGATTGCAACATGAATAAAAACTTGTTTGTGAATGTCTTTCACCTACAGATAGGGGGGGGGGGAAAGAAAAAAAAGAACTATTAAGATGAATAAGTGCTGTAATACACAGTTACTGCTAATTATCAAAATATTTTTCTATTAATTACTGGAAAAAAATTTAGTTTAAGACAGAGAGAATAGTTTGGAAACTACAAAAGAACAGAAGAATGAGTGAAACTGGCTACTGAGAGCTGGCTCTGAACACTCGAGTGATAGTTGGGTCATTACCAAGAGTAGAGAACACTCTAACATAATGTCTTCAAGTTTGCTACTATACATAAACATATGTAATTAAAGGGCTGAATCTCAACTCAAAACAGTTGGAAGTCTAAATTATCATTCAAAAAGATGAGTAAGCCAGTAAACAGACAGACTCAACTTCATGTTCTTGTATGCTAGCCATCTCCAATTTGGAATTACACATTTTAAACCTAAAGCTTTTGTCTTGCTGGGATTAAACATCAGTCATGAGAATTTTGCCCTTTAACATTAGAGGGGATGTAAAAGCTTGGGGGAGAACACTTGCTCAAAGGAGGAAAATACAAAATCAGTAACAGAAACGGACAACTTTGTTCCAACAAGTCTGTAGCACTTGTTTGGTCTTTTGGGATCTATACAGAAAAAGACAAAACTGAAACAAAACCAGTATAAAGAAGTGGAATGGAGGTTTATCAAGTACTGAACTTCCCTTTTTAAAATAAAATTTAAAAAAAAAG